TTCTTTTAGGGGACGTCTGAATTAGGATTATCCCCCCCCCGCATTTGTTATCCTGCTATCATGTTAAGCAGCTCAGCTCTATTCTGTGAAATTAAGAACAAAAACAACAAACAAACAAAGGGAGGAGAGGGAGCGAGACATGTGTGTGTGTATGTGTCTGTGTGTGAGGGCGGGGGGGTGCAAAATAGACGAAAAACATTTCAGATTTCAGGACGTTGAATCGCTCTCCAAGGAAACATGTTGTTGTCAGGGGCACCGCAGGGGAGTGAGGGTTTAAAGGTGGGAGGGGTGGATCACTGTCGGAGAAGGAGGAGAAGTTCACACAGGCACACACATATAGGGACTTAGACACATACACATGTTCAAAACACGCATTCATGAGCGGAATAGGAATGCAAACAGACAATAGCATGACTGTAATTTACCACTAAAAGCCCTGGAAGCTAGAAGCGGCCGGGCCAAGCGGCGAGGCAGGAATACTAATCGATCCTTGTTACCTTTAAACATCTTGTCTGCAACAATCACTGAGAAGGTCAGCGCTGGACCCAGGCATTCTGTGGGTCAGGTGTATATTCTGCTTGTTTCTCATCAGGCTGATCTAATTGTCTCGACATTAGAGTCAGGATTCATTTGAGCAGCTGCAAAGTTGATGTGGAAACCAAAGGAACAGCTTTCAGAACAAGTTTCTATTTATCGTCCCTCTGTAAGCCAATAGCAGTTTTGTCTTTTTTCCTCTGCCCTTCCTCGCTACAGTATTGATTCCCAGGGATCTCAACCTGCCCCCTCCGGACTGTAGGTGAGAGAGCTGTGGTCAGTCAGGCCAATTAAAGAGACAAAGAAATGGGGAAAGAGGGGAGGAGAGAAAGAAAGAGGTGGGAATAACTGGAGCTTCTGAAGGCCCCTCTTGCACCACACCCTGTTCAGCATGAAAGGGGACCCCCCTTTTCTCCCCAAGGCAGCTCAGGAGGAAGAATGTTTTTGAGCAAGGGAGGGAAAAGGGGGGGACCACAGGGGAGACTCCCACCCTCTTCTCGACCCTGTCTCTTTCATCACTCTCTGCTATGATTTTTTTTTTCTGTCTTTTATTCCCCGTCCAAAATCAACCCGCAGACCTATAGACGCATGGCACAGCTGCATATGAGTTCAAAGTAAATCTGATGATCGCCTATTGCCCATGAGTGAAGGCTGAAGGCAGTGAGCTGCTGATAATGTGTTTTCTCTATGGAGACAGTTTGCTAGTAGGGTAGCTATGGTGAGAGTGGTCTCCTCTGTCCTCTGCCAAAATGTCCCCAGTGGTTGGATGGATGTGGGTTGGTGTGTGTTTGTGTTCCCATCCTCTGCCACCTTCATGCGGAATGATTTCTTCATTATCTCTACTTCTGCGAAATGACTGCGTGGAATCCTTTTTAAAGAAAGAGAAAGCAGAAAAAAGGGGAAAAAGGAGGAGTGTGGGTTGATGGGAAGAAGTCTGTTAAATTCCATCTCCCCCAAAACAGGATGTGGAGACCCCGAGATGTTCCTTAAATATCCCAGCACAATCTGTGCCCTTTGTTAGACAGAGATAACACGACTCAATGACAACGGAGTCGCTGTCTGTGACTCACTCATATGAAGGGGTTTATTCATAGTTTGTGTGTGTGTGTGTGTGTGTGTGTGAGAGAGAGAGAGAGAGAGAGAGTTTGTGTGTGAATCCTGCTATGCCAGAATAAGGGGAATAGAAAAGAGAGTTGTGGAGATAAAGAAAGGATATGTGTTATCAAATTTAAAGACTTTCTTGAAGATGTTCGATGTAGCAAGGGTTTTATGTGTGTGTGGGCGTGTGTGTGTGGGCCTGTGTGGGTGTGCGTGAGTGACAAAGAGAGACAGAGCGGGAAGGGGCTAGAAATAAAACAAGGGAGAGAAAGAGAGATGCAGTTTTCCCGTGGGTGTACTGCAGTAACATAGTAATCCTCATTAATATTTATCTGCCAGGCAAAGTGGAGAGAATGATTAGCTTGAGAGTGTGTGTGTGAGTGTGAGTGTCTGCGTGGTGTGTGTGTGTTCTCTTGAGTGAACCACCTTTGTGCATGCTTGTATAAAATATTACAGCATATAACACATGAACTAGGTCAATTTCTATACTTAAGAGACTAACAAGTTCCGATACTTCAAAGGTTTTATGTCATCATGGGGGTCTCTCATTGCATGCGTGCACAGTAAACAGCATTTTTATTTCAATTATTCCGAGCACACATATGAACGGGGCAGGCAAAGCTCATGGCATGCACAAACATTCTCGCACACACACGGACAGCTCCCTGCTTTCATCCCTCTCTCGAGCCACGTTGCATTATGTTATTGATTTTCCTGCTCGCACCTCTAATACAATCACATTAAACTAGACTGATCGGAATTGAATTTTAGACCGGGTCTATGCATCTGTGTCACTTATAATCTCCGTCACAGTGACAGTGGCTTGTGGGTGTGTGTTGACAATAAACCTGTAAGAAAATTAAGCCTGCAAAAGCTGGGTTTATTGTCACTTAAAAATTTTAGTAACAGATGAGTGTGTCATATGGGCTTTTTATTCTCTTGTATATAACTGTTTTTGTGAATTTATGGTGTCTATGACCCATTTCCCTCCACTGCCTCCCTCCCTGTCTCTCTCTGACTTGCCTCCACTCCAAAATAACACGCCTGAGTAGAGATCAGAGAGCAGAAGGAAGATTGAGAGATACAGAGAGAGATGAAAGAGGGTGGAAGAGAATACTGAAAGCAGGACATGGAGCAGGGAAAGTGAAAGTTTTCTCCTGATTTTCCTGTTTCCTGTGTGTGTCTGGACTGAGATGTCCTCCTGACTGACTGGCTTGTGCGTACAAGTTTATTTATCCTCAGCGTGTGGATGAATATTTGAGAGAAAGAATGTAATAACATGCAGATGATCTCACTGTTTGGCTGTCAATTCGGTCTATCACAAGGCTGTAAAATCCTGAATAGTGTCTTCTTCTCTCTGTCTTATTACCATGGTAATAGCCGACCAGCTGACACTCTGGTGCTGACTGTTTACATCACAGGGCCTGTATGACCTTTCCCAGGAATCAGCAGGACATTGCACACACATAGAATCATGGGAACAGTGCACTGTCATACCTAACCTCCCTCCTCCCTCCCCACCACAACAAATATTTACACCCCTCATAAATTACAGTGGCTGAGAGGTGAACGTCCCCAGCCTTCGTGTGTAGCTCCAGCAAAACCCTGATTCATTTTGGAAAATTCACACTATAGGAATGCTACACATTCCTCACTGGTTTCTCAAGACTCCACTGAGAGGGCAACACAAGGCTTTAAGATAGAGGGATGGGAGACTGGTGCTGTTGAATGAGGGATCTCGGAACATGTGGTTAGTGAAATTAAAGTGAATTAAAAGTAAATTTTAAAAAGATGAAAGCTTATTGCATTATTGGGGATTAGGTTTTTTTTTTTTTCTTACTGCAATCCATTCAGTTAGCCATCTGTGCAAAATATGGAGTGAAAGAGAAAGTAGTACATACAGTGAGAGAAAAAGAGACAGAAAAGTGAAAGAAAATGCTCTCATAGCATTCAATAACAACACAAGTAGAATGTTCTCATTGTGGAAAAGTTAAAAATACAATCTTTGATATTGATTTTGTACAATATACTATAATTGATTAATGCCATGGTAGTAACTTACTCACGTTCATGTTGACATTCAGTAACAAACAAATGGAATAAGCATCATACCATCAACAATTTACACGCACACACTCACACACATACACATAGATACCAACTCAGCAGTACAGGAGTGACCCCTTGCATCGATAAACCCCTCCATGAATCAGAGTGGGCTACGAAAAGGCCATTTAATCCACCCACAGTCAGATTGGGTTTGGTAGGAAGGCAAAGAATTACTATACAGTACAGAGTTATTGAATTTTCTATTGATCAAGGCTCTCTGAGGAAAGTGGAAGGAAAGTTGAAAAAAATGAATCGGTTCGGTTGTTAAGACAGAAAACATCGGAAATATGAGATTTTTTCTTTTTAAATGTTTATGTGTGTATAAGAAATCCTTAGTGGCCCAGAAGATCAGGAAAGGTCTGCGGCAGCAAGAAAAACTATGTGTCTGTGTTCGATTTCAGAATTATTTTAGCATTCATATCACACAGACACACAGAACACTGATCATTTCAGCTGTATTGATTTAGCAGTGCTGTTAAGCCAACAGACTGGCAAGGATATGCATGTTGGCTTGGCATTGGTGGTATGTGAGGGTTGCATTGCCTCCATGTGGCCGTTGTTGCAAATTTAAGCAAATGTATGATTCATTGCGGATTCCTATCTCAAATAAACAATAAAGTTAGATGTAATCAGTCACATGCTTTGCACACTGTGCGAGGATAACGTGTCGAGTTGGTAAAGAGTAGAAGACCGGTTGGATATTCTTTACATTCTTGGAAGAATTAGATCAGGTCAGGATACTCCAGCCTGGGAAAATGGCTCAGCAGAAAAATATCTCCTTTTTTAAAAACATTCTGGCTGAAGTCCCAGTGCTGTTAGAAAGTAGCATACTCATGACTTGACTTGACATGAAGACCAAATATAAGTGTTTTATAGTTCAAGGACAGTATGTACTGTATGTGTGTGTGTGTGTGTGTGTGTGTGTGTGTTTGAGTATGTGTCTTGTTCATAGATTGAGAATGACAAGCATGCATATAGTGTCCAGTCGGACAATGTGTGTGTGCGAAGGTGTGCATCCCTCTCTCTTTGAAAAGTAAGAAAGAGAGAGAGAGAGAGAGAGAGAGAGTGCTGTCGTCTGTTCTCTCTGGCAGTGGACTGGTTGCTGTCCATGTGAGCTGCAGTATGAGGGTGCATATCGCTTTAAAACAACTGCCGGAGAGACTTAAGAGACCGTCTGCATTTCCTTAGTGGGAATGTTTGTGTTTGTGACGCTCAGACCAACAGAAAGAGGGTGCTTTGCTTAAGTGAGAAGAAACGAGAGGGGAAGGGAGGAGGAAGAAGAGAGACACAGTCAGCAGGGACCACCGGCTGTATGGGACTTGGACAGAAGGACTAGCAGAATTTGTCCTTGAGGAAGCGTCACACTGCTGAATCCCAGAGAGACTGAGAGGACAGAAAGGGACAGAGGCAGGAGAGGAGACAGCCAAGGGGGTTATCCCTCTCTCTGTGGCTTACCTCCAGAGATGACCCAATTATTATCTACTGGAGTTAAGTGGTATCAAGAGGACAATAAAGACTAATTCCTCCTCATTACCTGGGCCTCTATGGATTTTACCTGTGATGGCTCACCTGAACAGATGAAGATTTGTTAATGTGAAACTTGTTGATATCCCACCGATATCAACTCATACTGCTGTATTGTATATACGTACGTCTGGAGGTGTTTCTCATCACAGAGAGCCTGTAGTCGTTGAAGTTATGGAGGCTGTCTTGTTGGGTCTAGACGAAGCGGTCTGTACTCGGCAGGGTCTGCTGTGGACTCTCACCTCAACTGCCCTGAGACGCCTTTGTGTGCGTGCAAGGAACCTTCCTGCACCCCTGCATCTATTGCACACACACAGGTGTGTTTCTAGGCCACTCTATCAGGTAGGCTGCACCTCACATACACACGAAACAAACATAAACTAGATATTCATGTGCATATCTGCATTCAATCTGGCACCCTTGCACAAGGCCTGTATTGCTAATTTAAACCTAAACACATTTACATCTGTTAAGAGATACTTAATGCAGAGATTACATTTGCAACCACCATCTGTCTGCAAGCGGTGCCACCTGTGGAGATGGATAGAAAACTATTATAAATGGATCCACACTCGTGTCAAGGCTTGGGACTAGCGGAGGCACGAAGTGAACAGATGATGTACTGTAGGCCAGGTATGTCCTTCAGGCGATAGACCAGGGCCAGATAGGCGGGCGGGGTTAAACATGACTGATTTGTTTCATTAAGCATGAAGGACAGAACTGGGTTAGAAGTTGTGGCGGTGTTCCTGCTAAATGGGACACATAAGCTGACACAGTTTTATAACACACAGCTCAGGTGCATGTGGAGTGTTGTCCCACAAGTTCATCTATTGCATATAAAGGCTGCTTTGTTTAACGTTGTTGCCACTGTGTGGAGTTCTTTAGTAGTTGTGCTCAGGATGCAGAGCATTAACAGGAAGTTGTGTTGTTAGGGTAACTTTTAAGGAGCTGGTAACTAAGCTGTTAAGCTGGTAAGTGTTTCTATGGATATTTGAAAGTGGGATGCTTGCACACAAAACACACAGACACTGTTTTATAGACTGTCTAGTCACCATGCCTCCATCGCATTTCACATTATGTCTAACTCCATAGCAACTCTTGACCCTCTAAATGTATCCGTTTGCTTCTAAAGAACCATTTCACTGGTGAATGAGTTATTTTAATTTATTTTATTAAACGCAAGTGTGTCTTTTGGGCCATGTGTTTGTTGAGCTGTGATTCAGCAAAATGGTTGATCAGTATTCACTTCACTATGTCTGAATTGGTACTCAGGGCTTTCATGGAGCCATTAGTATTCCCCAGGCGTCTCACCTGCCCTGTATGCAGCTGGCACCACCAGGACAAACCAACAGGCTCACAGAGAGACACTCACCAGGCCTGTCGCAAGATAACAAAAAGCACGCACTAAATCATATACAGCATAAGTAGAGTAACATAAATACATGTACTGTATATGTACTCAAACTTAAACATACACACACCATGTGTCTTTTCCTGTCTTTTTGCTCTAATTCCCTTTTTAATCTCAAGAGGGGGATAAACTGGATTGTTATTCTAACTTTTGTCTTCACATGTGTTTTTATGTGGCTCCTAAGTTTAAGCATCCTGAGGGAGGGCAACACAATCAGAGGAAACTGAAATGATATACCAGACCTCCCTAAGACAAACCCTTAACACCCCCTCCTGGTTCAAAGACGCACAGACGTCTGAAAGAGGCCACGCTAAAACACCTTTCAAACAGAGGTCTTTTAACAAACATCCTCTACACTTGTGCTTTGATGAGCCTCTGGCCTGTCGATGTGGTCCAGTCCAAGGTGGAGCAGTTAATAGTGGAGGGACTTGCAAAAGCAGGGAAGGAGGGGTCAGTGAGTCAGGCTGCAGGATGGGGATATCCCTGGCTCACCACACTGCCTCCCTGCCCGGCTTCCTCTAATGCTGTTAATGAGATACCCAGCCTCACGCAACTGGCAGACACACAACAGAGAGAGCATAAGAGGGGACTTTATATTTTATCAACCTGTTTTCACTTTCTCCACTCCTTATCCACCTCCTTCTTTCATCCTGAAATGAAAATACATTTCCACTCCAGTGCTCTGACATAAAACTGTTCCCCCATGTCTCTTTTTCGTTTTCTGACACTCTATTTTTGCTTTTCTTCCTACTTAAATTACTTCTTCATTTCTTATTTAACTCTCTCCACTCTCTTTTCAACTCTCACTGGAGAAGACATCCATCAGCAGCAGTCCTACATGCTCAATCAGGACACCAGCCCAGATATTTTACGGTGCTTCAGCATGTGACACATATGTCAAGGTGATCATTTTACACTCGAGGTGCTTTGCATTTTTGCGTGATGCAGCAACCTGTGTGATGGAGCTGTGGCGTTACAGTAACCATCAGGCTGCAGCATTTATCAAATGTTCTTACACGGACTTGCTCTTATTTCTCTTGTGAGAAAACACAGCCGCGTGTTCACACTTTCATACATCGAGCTGAGTATTGACTCAACAGCCTCCAGTCACACATTTTCCTCTGGTGGCATGACCCTTTAAACAGGGTTAGTACCGACAGGCATCTGAGGCCAGTGCTCCGCTGTGCTGTGTTAGACAGTGTCTCAGGGTAATTGTTTGTCATTTCTCATGTTGCTTTGCATCGATTCGATCTGTGCACATTGTATCTTTTCGCCTGTCATTTCTCTCCTACAAGCCCCCCTTCTTACCACCCTATCCCAAAGGCAGGATATCCTGCATGGGGAAGAAGCAGGCGTAAGGACTATAAGCAAACACAGGTGGTCGGACTTCCCCTGCGTTGCAAGATTTCAGGCCTACCTGTAATAATCACTGTCCTGAAGCTTTACTACAAGCCATCATTTTGTTCTTAAGAATGTGAAGTGACACGTTGTAAAGCAAAACTCATTCTCAGCGTGCTCATCATCTCTGTAGATCCTTTCAGACTTGACAAGATAAACATCCCAGATACCCCATGCTTATTTCCTGTTGTAGTGCTTGCTAATAACAGCAGCTGACAGGAAGCTGATTGTCCTAGATGTCAAATAAACTTAAATCCAACCTGTTGCCTAGCAACACAACTCCACTAAAATGTATTATACATATTTAAAATCTCTTATGTCACATCTGTCATGCATATTCATTACACATCCCTGCTCTGTTAGCTCGTGGGCTCTTCTTCTGCATCATATTTAGGATTGAAACCCAGGCCAGTTTACTCCCACTGAACTCATCTGGCCCTGTTTCCTGTGAGAATAGCTCTGTCACCGATCCTATTTCATTTCCACTGACGAATCCCAGCCCATTATGATACGAAACAGAGTCACAGCAGCACAACTCTACAATAGCCAGGATACACAATCCTCCCTCTGTCTAGGAGCCGGTTCATTTGTGTCTGTGCCGTTACTTTTTTGGTTTGTGGTCTGATAAGCTGTGGGCACTCAGTCAAACCGTAGTGATTTCAAGCAAGTGGATTCCTTGGAAGAACAGTCCGCTGTGATTGCCAGCAGCTCCCCTGAATCAGGACATGATTGTACTCTGTTCAGTTTGTTAAGTCTTTCACTCTCATGTTCAATTTATCATCTATTTGTTCTCATAGTCCACCGAAACAGATGTCAATAAATCGACTCATGACAGGCAGGCAAATATCCAGACTATGAAATCTGCGTGTCTTCACTGATTCCCAGCCTCATTCCTTTTTTCCTTGTTTTCCAGCCAAATAATTATTGGATAGAGGTTGAAGTTGAACTTGTGACATCCTACTGAAGAATTTTGATCATTATCCCTGTCTGGCAGCCATGTTTGTTCTTATTGCCAAAGTCAGGATCTGTATGTGAGAAAATCTTTTCCCAGGACCGGCAGAGAGACGTTTGGTGATGGGAGGGGTTGAGGGCCAAAAACGGACATTGTCTAAAATTTTTCCAGGGCTTTGTTTATTTTTTTTTGTTGTTGTAATTTTCTAATTTGTTTGCAACTAGCTGGAGGCATGTTTGTGTTTGATACCCTTGTATAGGCGCACACACTCACACACACACACAAACACCCCTCTGTAGATTCTGGTGGTGGTTGAAACCGTTTACAGTATCTCCCTGGGGATAAAGTCTTATTTGCATAGTTCGTCTGGAAAACATTTCCACTGCTCCATTCCCAGGTTTATCAAATACCCAGTGTGTGAGTGTAAATGTATGTGTGAACGAGAAAAAGGAAGAGGGGGCAAGGTTTTGTCGATGTCTGAACTTCCTGTAGAGATTCGTCAACAGTTCTCAACCAAGGGAAGCTATTTTCTCACCACTCCATAAATTATAAATCGTGATCGAAATTTTATTCATTCATAGTTTGTTGATATAAATGTGTTTGACGAGTCTCTTGGTGATTTGCAGTCGTGTTACATGTTAAACATTTAAAGTGCGACCTCCTCCTACATGTGCCGTGTCATTTAGTCACTGTGCGCCATAAGCTTCTTACCCATGCCAGAATAATTTCTCTGGTAATGTGACAATGTGGCACACTACTTGATAGCATGGCCACTCACTTGATTAATTATAGGCGTTCGCATGCTTACACACTATCCTTCTCCACACGCGTACCACACAGTTGTCCCAGTGGTCTGAATCTCTGTTTTGAGGGATATCATTGAATGAAAACAGGATGGTATTTCCAACAAAGCTCCAAGAGAAATCTTATATTATTTTAATATATTTTGATTTTGTATGGCTGCTACGATGGCCAGGTCTCTCTTGTAAAAAAAAGACTTTTGATCTCAATTTAGACTTCCTGGTAAAATAAAATAAAACAAAACATAAAAAGGATCATGATATCATCATATAAGCCTTAGTGTTTTTGATTTAATAGAAAAGCCAAATATGAACTCTTTCCAAGATAACAGTTGCCATTTTTTGGAGACTATGCTATGTTAAACATGATAAAACACACTGGTTGTAATATGTTAGTGTTTTATTGGGCCATGGTTGAGCAGCCTAGTTGTAAATCTGGCTGGTATTCCTCTAAATCCTCTAAGTGTGTCTGAGTCCTGGCCAGAGTCACATCTGAGTGGCCGGAGCAGACATTATATACGGTTTTTGAAGGTGGTCGTCTTCTGTTGAGTGACGTGATGGTGGTTTAACTGTGGCATTAGTGATGGGGATGTGAGGGCTTATAATGTTTTAAATTCAGAGGTTAGGACCTCTGTATAGAATGGTAATCCCAAAGGATTACTAGGGGAATCTGGTGAATATCTGAGGAAATCCCTCTCAAGGACTCTCAGATCCTCTGTTTGTATGGATATTATATCCTCTATAACAGTGTGTCCACATGTGTTTACTGAACAGATGTTTA